ACTTGCAAAACATAGATGAAAATAATGAGGGCAAGAAATCTTTAGCTAAGCGACAAAGATTTTGGGATTTTTTTTTTTTAAAGATTTTAGCATAAATTTTGAAAAACTGGTTGCTGGTCACCACAACTCCCAATTTAATGAATCAACTGCTTTGTAAACTCTATTAACTCTCTGAAAAAAAAAATATAAAAACATAACATTAAAAATCTTGCCGTAACATCTTAATCCGTGATATAAGCACCTTTTAGTATTTCCTTTACATCATACAAAAAGTTGATATATGGCACCAGTTTATTATATCCTATATTTCTGATAACTTAGCATTATTCAATGTAAAGACAGGGACAGATGTACATCCCAGGAGGTTTTATGGGTAGAAAAGTAAAGTGCCCCAACCTAACCTCAACAAAAAATAATTCTATCTTGCTTACTTCATAATACAGAGGACACAAACGAGAGATACGGGAAGTACGCCTCTCACTCTCTCCCACTGGAGATAAAAAGCTATAGCAATGGTAGCGGCAGTGGTTGGTAGTGCATGGAACCCCAATTAAGTATTAGGGGGGCACTAAGTAAGGATAAAACAAATGTTAGTAAATAATCTAATTTCCTTATTTTCACAGACACACTTGCTAAATAAACACGTGTTGCCTTAGCTATAACATGGTACTTACTAAAATAACATAAGGTGCCTTAAAAATAACACACCGTCGTAGAGTCACTACCACCCTGCGCAAACCGTTTGTTGCCATCAGATCACTGCCAAATGAGTGACGTGACTTCCTGCCAAAGGGGATTTAGTTTTGGGCAGGTCCACCAGCAGTGTAGGAATGTTCCTGTCTCCCCGCATTGTTTTCAGCAAGTGTTGGGGGAGTTGCGGTTTCTGATGGCTAGGCGGTGTGGCGTTAGGTACCATCTGAATAGCATCTTGTATGCTTGTTCCGTATGTGTGACGCAAATCGAGATGGAGGCTGTGGCCTCCCATATATCTGCCCAGTTGGCTGTGTCTTCTGGGGGTCCCAGGTCTTCTTCCCAACCACTATATATGGGAGTGTGAGTTGGGTGGGGTGGGTCGCTATGGTCACATATAGTTCTGAAATTTGGCCTTTTCTGGAGGGTTTGGCTATGCATTCCTGTTCAAATCTGGTGAGTGGTGCAGTACCTGTTTGGTTGACTATTGGGGTTGAGGCGAAGCTGCGTAGTTGTGATCAAATGATGTAAGGGAGGTTGAGTCTTTGATGTCTGCAAATGACATGACTGTGTCATTAAGGTATAGATGGCCCAATCTTGATATGTCTCTTTGTTTCGAAGTGGGCAAAGTGTTTTGGGGTGAGGCCCGGTGGGAAGAGTTTATTCCTCCATATCGGGGTCATGGGGGATAGAAAAGAGGAGAGCTCATATTTGTCCCGTAGCCTGTCCCATAAATCGAATGCATGTGTGATCGCGGTTGATGTAGGTGCAGGTAGGGGCCTGTGTGTTTTGGCTGCCCACATGTATAAGGATGGGTGGTCCCAGCCAAAAATCAGATGTTCCAAGTCCACCCACCTTTTCTTGTGTGGTTGGATGTGTCATTGCTGTATCTGGGCTAGGTGTGCTGCGGAGTGGTAATGTGCCAAATTGGGTAGGCCCAGCCCCCCGAATTTCTTGGGGACGTATAGTGTGCTTCTTCGGACTCTAGGTTTACGTCCATTCCAAATGAATGTGTCTATTGCTGACTGTAGGGCTTTTAGGTCTGGTTTGTGGATTGGTTTCGGGAGGGTTTGGAAGAGGTATAGGAGTCTGGGGAGGAGGTTCATTTTGATGTAGGCGATGCGACCCAGCCAGGAAATCCCCAGAGGCTTCCAGCGGTGTAGGTCATTGTGGGCTTTCAGTAGCAGTGGGGTATAGTATCTCGCATACAGCGTTTCGACGTCTGCTGGTAGTTGGATTCCCAGGTAAGAAATGGTCACCTGGCAGATCCTTAGAGGGAACTTACGTTTGATCCTGTCTAAACAGGGGTCGTCAATTTGTATTGGCATCAATTCAGATTTTTCCATGTTAATTTTATACCCAGAGATCTCCGAGTAGGTTTGAATAAGGGTAAGTAAGGCGCTAATCGAACCTTCTGGGTTAGTCAGTGTAAGTAGGACATCGTTGGCATATGCCGAGACCTTAAATGTCTCCCCTCGGATCACAATGCCTTCTATCTCTTGGCTGGACCAACACCGCCTGCAGCAAGGGTTCTAGGGAGAGGGCAAAGAGAAGGGGTGACAGGGGGCAGCCATGTCGTGTGGCATTTGAGATGGGAAATCTCGGTGGGGTGATATTAGGCAGGAGAAATATTCCCTGTGGGGAGTGATACACTGCCTATAAGAAGGTGGTGAATTTGGTAGGGAATCCTAAATGTTCAAGGGTTTGATATAGATATGGCCATAAGAGGCGTTCAAACGCCTTTTCTGCATCAAGTGATATTACTCGATGGGCGGTGGTGGGCGGTGGTGGGCAGAGTTGTGTGGTGTCCTGTCCGTGGCAGGCGTGTGTACCGCATTACAGTCACCCCCACTATTAAATGCGTGTTGGAATAGGTTCCAAGGTATGTTGCAAGTTGTTGTGAAAATAAGGGGTCAGGAGTTGTCGGGGCGCAGACAGAGCAAAAGGCATATTCTGTAGTCCCTCTTTTCCCCTTTATTGTGATGTATCAGCCTTGAGGGTCTGTGGTGCATGTAATGTCCGTCAGAGGGCAGGTTGATTTCAGTATAATTGCTACCCCTTTTGTCTTGGTGTCTGGGGAGGAGGCTAGGTAGCTTTACTTGTAGTGTCTGTTGGTGAGGGGGAATGAATGTTTTTTTGTAAAGTGGGTTTTTTGTAAGAGAAGGATGTCTATATGTTGCCTATAGGCCCATCGTAGCAAGCCATGCCTCTTGACTGGCGCGTTCAGCCCTTTGGCGTTGACAGAGATGGATCGTAAGGATATGCGCATGTTTGCAGTGTGGGGGGGTTGTAGTGGGATCAGCGTACCATAAATCTTGTATGCGGTTGGGCGGGGGATGTGTGCCCAGGCGAGCGCGGGCAGGCAGTGGTCGGGGGGGCAGAGGAGGTAGGGTCCTACAAGGAGTGGGGGTTTGTAGGTCGGAGTTAAGGTAGACCAGAGGGGGTGAAAGGTCAGGTGAGTCAGACTTCTGGACTTATACAAGGGCCAGTAGGTCGCGGGGTAGAGCGTCTGACTGCTCCACTAATCTTCAGGGTGTGTGAGGTGTGTGTCGTATCGGGTAGTAGCGGCATGCCCATCCGAGTCTCTGGCAGGTCTTAGTCGCTAAGTACAATATTCTCCAGAGGGCAGAATTGGTCGTTTTGTGTCTCATCAATGGCACTCCTTCCGAGCTTCGCTTCGGGGAGGGGGAGAGGGTAGATCCGGGGGTCCATCGGTTGCATTGGTGAAGTCACTGTCCCAAGGGGAGTCCTGGGCTGTGAGCCAGCCAACTGGTCGCCCTTGTGGCAGCTTGTGTGGTCTGATAGGGGTCACCCCCGCGTCTCTCCCGCCCTCCCCATTGCTCCCAAGCGAGTTTGAGCCAGCCCCCCATGTTCCCCAGCATTGGCTTTGAAGGTGAAAGCTTCCGGTAGCGGGGCGGGATGTTATGGGGTACCTGTTGGTGTGTGTGCTGCGGGGGGGAACCCGGGCAGTTTCCCTCAGTCTGGTGAGTAGCTGTATCCAGGATAGTTCCCCGGTGGTCCAACTGAACTGGGAGCCCTGTGTTCATTACGCCCTGGGCGGGAACTGAGTCTCGCTTTCAACGGTGAGGTGGTGGAAGCGTGGATGGCCTTGCAGGTTATCTTATTGGGCAGGGGCGCCCCTCCATTAACCTATTTGGTTCTCCCCTATTACATGGGGTGCGGTGACCTGGGGTCGCTGGATACCTTTTGGTTCAAGGGGCTGGTGCACATCATGGACCTCGTAGGCCTCACCGGGTATACTAGTCCGGGCTTGCATTCTTATAGGGATTAACAGATTTCCCATGTGGGTTCCCTGATGGTTGGGGGTCTACGGGTAATCTGCTAGTGTGTGCTTTTGGGTTCCCTGCTTGGTAAGGCCACCCCTGGGCATCTATCCCTATGTCTCCCTCGTGGCGCGTGCTCATGCTTGGTAGTGCATACATTTCCTGCATGTGGGGCCTTGATACTTCAAGGCGCTAGGGTGCCTATGGTGCTGTCATCAGGTAAGCTAACCATATAAAACAACATATATAACCTGAGACATAACATATAAAACATTCCGTGGCTACGTTAGAATTTGTATAGTAGCTTATCTGTGTCCGGAGTAGTCCACCACTGGTGTGTGCTGCGAAAATCTCGGTTATGCTAAAACCAGGCTTAGATGGTCTGTGCGTGGGTCCCGCTAAAGTGATACGGACCATCAGGGTGCATGGTATGAGTGGGCTGGTTAGGTGTGTGCGGCTGAGTCTGGGTCTCTGCCCGGTCTCGGTCCCTTTTGCATCTGGCGTAACTGCACGTCCAGTCGTTAGTCTCCTTGGGGTCCTTCCAGGGGCCTGGTTGGCATTAGAGTCGATGTGGGGCAGGCCAAGTTGTTCTGCGAAACCTCCGGCCTCTGCGATGCTATGTAACGCTAGCGTGTGGTTGCTGTAAAGGGGTGTCCCCAGGAATAGCGGATTTGTCTCCTCACCAGTTCTTGTGTTAGGGGCCGCTTAGATGGTCTGTGCGTGGGTCCCGCTAAAGTGATACGGACCATCAGGGTGCATGGTATGAGTGGGCTGGTTAGGTGCGTGCGGCTGAGTCTGGGTCTCTGCCCGGTCTAGGTCCCTTTTGCATCTGGCGTAACTGCACGTCCAGTCGTTAGTCTCCCTGGGGTCCTTCCAGGGGCCTGGTCGGCATTAGAGTCGATGTGGGGCAGGCCAAGTTGTTCTGCGAAACCTCCGGCCTCTGCGATGCTATGTAACGCTAGCGTGTGGTGGCTGTAAAGGGGTGTCCCCAGAAATAGCGGATTTGTCTCCTCACCAGTTCTTGTGTTAGGGGCCGCAGTTCCCTCTGTTTGCGCAAGGTGCTGGGGGCCAGGTCGTGGTAGAAGTGAACCTGGTGTCCCTCAATCTGGAGGGGGTGTCACGGGCTCTGTCAAGGAGGAGTTCTGCTGGCGAGTAGGCCACAGAACTATTCACAGAGGGTGGTATTTCTACGGACTCTGGTATGCCGCGGATTCTGATGTTGCTGCGGCGTGATCGATTATTTAAGTCCTCTTGGGCTTCTTCTAGCTCGCGTACCTGGTCCCTGAGTTCTTCTATTGCCCACTTGTGGGTATCGGTCCGCAATGTTGCTTGGTCCATCCGCTCCTCTATGTCAGTAGAGCGTTGCGCGAGGTCCCTGAGGCCTTCTTTAATCGGAGTCAGGTGTTTTGTGAGTTCCGAGGCCATGTTGACTTTAATGTCTTAGAAGTTGTCTCAGGTCGTCCCTAGTTAGGGGTGCTGTGGAGGCTGAGTGGCTGGCCTCGCTCGCGGCTGAATCTGAGTCATAGCCACGCTGGTCATCTGCACGTGGCTGCTCTCGGTCCTTGTGGTTTCGGAAGATTGGTGCCACAATCGATCCCGTTTTGGATTTTATTCCTCCCCCCATAACAGGCTGGTTGTGTGCCGAGTTTGGGGTATGAAGTGACTGTTTTGGAGGAGATAGCGTTGGGAATAGTGTCTAATGTAAGCTGATTAAGTGCGTGCCGGTACAGAGCTCTAGCAACAAGCCACCATTCGCACCGGAAGTCAGGCGCCGCCCCACACTTGAACTTTGATCACAATGACTCCCGAAACTGGTACATTTGAATAAGGTCAGCTGTGATCTAATTCATTTGTGTCATCTCACCTTATGCAGCAGGGCATGCAAATTCCAAACTTGTAGGAGTTCGGACTGAAAGAATTAAACTGCACAGTCTAGATCTGGGATTAGATTTAATCTGTGCCATGGAAGGTTCTTGATGTCATTTAGAAAGGATTCAAGATTACTTTTTTTGAAGGACCTGGTGATTTTAACCTTGGGAGAGGATTTAGTAGCCTTTATTTTGCGCATGCAGTACACTAAGCAGTGGTCACTGAAACAGTTAGGGAGAACACCTGCCTCCTGGATTCTATCAGGAGAAGTGGAGAGAATCCAATCGAGCAGGGTATGGTTAAGGCTTTTAATGTTAATGCGAGTTGGGGAGGAGATTAATTTCGTTAGCTGGAAAGTCTTAAACAGTGAGCAAGAACTATTATTTTTAGGATTCAGGCAATCAATATTTAAGTCTCCAAAGACCAACAGTTCACTTTTTGGGTTGTGAGCTATGGTTTGACTAAGGAGATGGGCTATTTAAAAAAGGGAATGCACAGGAGAGCTAGGTAGGCGGTAGATTCCTGCAACAATTTCCATTGTGCCTTAAAGGAAATCAAACGTGGCAGGAGGACTAAAGTTTTCTAATGGGGTGAACTTTATGGAATTGTCAACATAGATGACTATGCCGCCTCCTCTTTTTGCTCTGTAATTTCTATTGCATGAATACCCATGTATTGCAATGTCAAAGTCAGGTATTTTTGCGGTTAGCCACTATTCAGAGAGCACAGTGATTTTGGGCTTATAATGTAAACACCATGCTTGCAGCGCATCAATTTTTGGTAGTAAGCTGCAGATATTACAGTGTACAAAGGAGAGGCCTTTTTTAGCTGGAAGGTTAGGAATGGAATCTGTTGGTGGGCCAGGGTTAGACTCTACATCATTTGCAAGAGCAAGTAACATGAGTAATTGGAATTTAGACATAATCTTTGTTTGGTAGTATTGCAATTGTAGGGTTTTATACTTTTGTGGCGTGGGGGTTAGAGGGCTTGATTTCAACACTCTCCACCAGCACTCAGCAGATATATTACAGCAACAAAGCAGGCCATGATGTATAAGAATTTGGTTTTCAGTTTGTGGTGAGTGTTGCTTAAGAGGGTGGTGGTAGGAACATGACAGGAGTGTAAGAGGGTTACAAGGAATATTAACACAGTCAAATTTGGTAGCCATGTACAGGAAGGGAGGAGATGAATGCAAACATTAAGTAGGTTACAATAATGCATATATGGTGAGGAAATAGTACTTACACTACACATATGGCTGGGTACAAAGCACAAAACAGGAATGCAGCAAGCACAACAGCTTGTGGGTGATAATGAGAATGTTGATTGAAGCACTGTCTGCTGTTCTCCTTGGGTCCTCTTTGGTGAACTCCCTTGGTAAACTCCTTGGATTTAGGGCACTTATTGGAAGTTGGCACTGGATGGATAGTGGCACACAGATGGAATATGGTCTTTGCTCCCCAGGGTCGTATGCTCCCATGTGACTTAACTAAATAGGGATCCCACTCAGCCTAGAGATAGTCAATTGGCTATATAGTTTGACACATGAGATGGAAGGGATTGGACAAATAGCACATAGTACATGAATGTGTGTATATGAGTCTGTATATGTGTATGAATGTGTTTGTGTATGAGTCTGTGTGTATGTATCAATGTGTGTGTTTGAATATATATATATTCATGTTTTTGTATATGAATGTATGTGTGTACATGACATTAAATATGGATGAATATGATTGTAAGTATGTGAGTGCTATTTTCCAAAGAAAATGGGGTTAAAGGTGGGAGGAGAGGGACACAACATTTATTTTTACAGTTTGGGGGAATGTCAAAAATGTTTTACTCTGGGCATCATGTGACCTTGGAACGCGTCTGCTCCCAATTCCACCTTAAAAACATTGTCTGCATCCGCCCATTTATTACACAAGATGGGAATAAAGACCTTGTTTGTGCTCTTAACAACAAAGAAAAACAGTGTGTTGGGGCTTCTCAATAGAGTAAATCTGAAGGATGTAATACAAATGTATCCCCTATCACCTGGAAAGCAAGCATATAAAATAAATGGATGTTACACATTCAATGAATGCACACAAAATACTTATGATGGTAGTCATGATTATCCAAAAATATTCTAAAAGAGATTAAAAAAAAAGGTAGAAAATAGTACTCCCATGAAAGCAAAATTGCACAAACCACATATATAGGAGATAGAACAAACTATAGAGCTGTATCAGGCTGTATTAAGTAGGCTCCAGGCTCTAGGCAACCCAGTCAGGAGTGGGCATCCAAGGCAGGAACTGGCAGTGGAAGGTATAAGCAGAAACATACTTTGTTACATAAAAAATATGATAAGGGACAAAAGTAAGCAGCATATACATGAAATATATAAAAAGCACAAGGGCTATAAGTAAACACTGCAAAAAATAAAAACAACAGGTTGTCCCAAAAATAGGAGCAAAAAATAGTGCATTTGTAATTTCTTGCATTGACTAATGTAATTCTGTCCTAATAAGTTGGTGCTATATAAATTACAATAATAATAATATATTATTGTATTACAATATCGCTTTCTGTTTGTTTTTGTTTTTTTTAATCGCCACACAATTAATTGCCCCAAATATGTATCTGTAATTGTTATATACTATATTACATAAAATAATATAAATATATATTATAATACGTACAAAGAATCTGTATGTTACTTGTTATAAAGGTGTGATGAGCAGCTGTGTGCACGCATGTTGTTTTAAATGGACTGATTTCTCCTATAACATCCAGTGTTTAGTTTGTGTGTTTTACAGTAACACCTGGAGCGATATGTCAAACTGAGAACGATAAGTATGTGAATATAGCATATTACAACAACACTCTGCATAATGACACGTGTTCCATGTGTATACAGCTCTTAAAGTGCACAGAGAACAAAAAAAAAATGTTGTGGGTTTTTAAAATTTGAATTGCAACTCCCAGAAAGTTATGTTCTGCTTTCTGAAGGCATATATAATGTTACTTGATACTGCAAGTAATGGGTAATGGTCAAAAGACAACTGTTCACACTTTTATTACACCCCTCTACCCAACAAATACTATCTATCTTGGGTAATCTAGCTTATCAACCTTGGGTAATCATCCTCAATTTAAGTTCAAGAAGCATCAGTGCTCCTATTCTGCCCATCATCAATAGTTGGAGAGAGGATGGAGGCAGTCATGTAGAACTACACTGTAAGTACATATTTTGGTTATGCAAGCAAGGGCCTATAGAATTCATAGGCCCATCCTGCAAACAATACAGTTGTGTACACAAGACTGAACAGCTTCATTGAATCTAACTCTCTACTTGACTCACTTAGTCTGGATTCTGCACTCATCTCTATGTCAAGAAAGCCATGACCAAAGTACGCAAACTACTTTACCTTTGTGCTCCTTCTGCCCATCCCAGCTCGTTGATTAGCCTTCCTGCTCATTTCTGTTCCTTCTCCTTTCTGCTCCTTCCCCCACTTTACCTTTGTGCTCCTGATTCTTTCTTTATCTGTGTGGTTCTTCTGTCCCTTCCTGCTCCTTGCTGCCCTTTCCAGCTCCTTGCTGCTCCTTGTAGTCCCTTTCTGTTCCATCTCCTACTTTACCTTTGTGCTCATTCTGGTTCTTTCTGCTCCTTTCCCGTTGTGTTCCTTCTGCCTCTTCTTGCACCTTGTTGCCCCTTCCTACTCCTTACAGACCCTTCCAACTCCTTGCTTCCCCCTTCTGTTTCTTGCTGATCCTTCCTGCTTATTGCAGACCCTTCCTGCTCCTTGCTGACCCTTCCTGCTCATTTCTGCTCTTTCTCCAACTTTACCTTCCTGCTCCTTGCTGACTCTTCCTGTAGGCTGCCCCCCCCCCATCAATCACTTACCTGATTTGTAACCTGTCTCTGCAGTCTGGGGATTGCTGGCTGCATTCTGTGCTGCTCCCCTCTGGATTCAGTCAGGAGAGAGAAGCAGGGATAAGATGTTGCTTCCTTTCTGTGCCTCTCTAGACACACAACTCCACCTACTGGCCTGTGCTGGTATTGCAGTGTATTCTAAATCTACAAAGAAAAATACCAGCACAAGATGAAAAATCCAAGGGGGAGCAAGTGCACACCCTTCCCCCCCCCTGCGGATGCCCACGGGAGCTCCCTTATACACTCAGACACACCAACAAAATGGAGCTCCTAGAATAGAGTGGCATTAGGATAGAAAATAGGGACAGAGGGATTTGGGCCCAAAATAGAGACTGTCCCAACCAAATAGGGACACCTGGGACATATGCAGATATTATATATATATTCTTGTCAATTTTCCTTCCATGGGCTGCTGAAAAGAAACAAAAGAATGGTTTGCCTAGGTAAAATACCTAGTATAACCTATACAAAATACTGCCTGTTTTTTTTTTTTAATTATTTATTTTTCTTGTGCATACTTTTACAAACAGGTCTGTAGCGCCACGACAGCGAGTACAAGCTTTACATTGGTATACAATATCATGACGGAGTTGTCAGCACATTTAATTTTATAAAATATCACGCTTAGAGTACTAGA